TGCGGGCAGGCGGGGGGGGGTGCGTGTTGCCAGCCGGGCCTCCCCCCGCAGTCCGCAACCCGGAGGGCCGCGTGTGCCTCTACACCAAGGGAGCCGACACGGTCATCTTGGAGCGCCTGTACAAGAAAGGAGAGGTGGAGCGGAACACTGAGGTGGCCCTGGAGGTGAGGCCCTGCAGAGCAGGGCTGGCGTGCGCCGGGAGGGGAGGGCACCGGCTGGACATGGGCGGTTGGGCAGGTTGTGCTCGGTACAAGCCACACCTCTTGCCCACCACACATGCGCGGCGGGGAGGGGCGCCTCCCAAGGGCACCCTCCCTCCTCCTTGCTCGAGGCCTCGCCCCAGGCCCGCTCCGAAGGTGGAGGTTCCAAGAGCTGGGGGAGCCCTGGCTGGGGAGCGTGCCGGGCGGGTGGGTGCCTGCTGGGCCTTGGGGAAGAGCTAGGCATTGCCCTGCCGTTCTGGCCGGGAAGGGCCCGAGCAAAGGAGGCCCCGGTCGGCCTGGGCGGCCCGCCGGGCCCTCTGGCCGCTGGCTGTTGGGGGCGCGGACGGCTGGTGGGGGCTGGGCCCCAGGTGCCTGGGCGGGGGGCTCAGGATGGCGACAGCTCCCACCCGCCTCAGGCCTTCGCCAAGCAGACCCTGCGGACGCTGTGCCTGGCCTACAAGGAGGTGGACGAGGACACGTTCCAGAGGTGGCACCAGCGGCACCAGGAGGCCAGCCTCCTGGGCCAGAACCGGGCACAGGCCCTGCAGGAGCTCTACAGCGAGATGGAACAGAATCTCAAGGTGGGTGGGTGCTCGGGAGGACTGGCGGGGGGGGGGGCGGGAGCCTGGCCCCTGTTCACGCCTTCCCTGCCGCCACCCCTGCCCTGCCAGCTGCTGGGAGCCACGGCCATTGAGGACAAGCTCCAGGACGGCGTCCCCACCACCATCGAGTGCCTCAAGAAGGCGAAGATCAAGATATGGGTGCTCACGGGGGACAAGCAAGGTGGGTGCCAGGGCGGCCCGGGACGGCTGAGCCCCCACCCCAGCATGGATCTGGCCACTTGTGGGAAGTCCCGCTGCCAGCCAACCCCGTTGCTGGGGTTACGGGTCGCCTTCCGCGTGGCCCCCGGGAAAGGGAGACACAGGAGCCGTTCACGATGCTGCAGTTCGGCCGGTGCGGTGGCTCGTGCCTGTCACCCCAGCACTTTGGGAGGCCGAGGTGGGAGGATTGCTTGGGCCTGGAGGTCGAGGCTACAGCGAGCTATGATCGGCCTGGGCAACGCAGCAAGACCCTGTCTCTACAAACGAAAAAAAAAAAGGAGAGAAGGTAAAAATGCTGCAGTCCTCAGGGTACCCCCATGGGCCGGGGCGTGCTGGTGCTGGGCGAGATTTGGCCCTGCTGGGCGGGACCCTCGCTGCCCCCTGTGACGGCAGAGGCTGAGCCCGGACTCGCCTCCACCGAGGGGCAGCGCGTGCCCTCCCCGGGCTGCTGCAGGGCCTCCCTGGCGCCTGGGAGGCACGCAGGGGCCCCGTTAGGACTTCTGGGGGCCCGAGGCACTGTGGCCTTCACGGGCCACTTCCTCCCCCCACGCACAAAAGTATCAGAAATGCCGATTTGCGACCACAGAAAGATATGCTGGCTACGCCATGTTCACCGCCTTTGCCCACGGACCCGGCCTCGGCCTGGCTGCCCTCGGCCCAATCCCTGCCCAGCCCTTGGCTCAGCGGCCGCCAAAGTCTCAGGGCGGGTTCTCATTGGCCGGCCCGGGTGACTGGCCCACCCCCCTGCCACTCA